AAAAACTCATTTTTCAAAAAATTTACAAAATGAGCCCTTTTAATACGACCATATGTAAAGTATGTTTTTATATAATATTAGTTATTAATCTCAAACTAGCTTAATTGCTTTTTAATTTTAGAGTTTACTCGTTATTTCAAATTGTTAGTTTATTTTTAGCTTAATTAAATTGCTACTCGAAAACTATAAAATTAAGTTTATAAATATTGTGATTGCACATTATATTGTCCAAACTTATTTTTTGGACCGGTTTCAACCACGGACTTTTGACATTCCTAATTTTAATTTTGGTATTTTTTTGCAATCCACATGATATCACCAACGACTTCCAATCCCGCATTGGTAGATTGATCATGAAAAATAACATTTTCAATCTCATTATGGCTTCGTCGCTTATGCCATAATTTTACAGACATTTCAGCATCCAAACTTTCCTCAACTCTTAAAGTCATTTTTCCGGATTGTTTCACGGGAGCACGCAAGGGAATTCCTCTACCGGCCCTGCGTTTTATATTGATTTTAAGATGAAATCCTTGTATGTTTGAAATGTGGAGATTTATATGTTGCATGGCAGAATTATCCATTTCTATATTGAACTCGCGAACAAAAGATAATGTATAAGTACTAAAATTATATGTACTATTCGTGCTCCCATGGTAAAAAACTATTATTCGTCCAGGATGACGTAACGACTTTTTAAGAAAAGGAACCTTATTGAGTAGGCTATCTGATGACATAAACGGTACGTCTGCTATGGAAAACTTTTAAATTCCATATAATTAAACAATTAAAACATAGTAATAAAATTAATTAATATTATTAAAAAAGTAAAAAGTAATACTTACTAATAATGAAGACCCTTTATCATTTATGAAATTATTGGTCTGTGCCCAAATATAAGACTGAGGAAAATTAGTACCCCAATCTTTTTCTATATACCCATATCCGTTCTCAAAACCAATTTTTTTGGAATTATCTTTATTATCTTCATTAGTAAACTCTATATTACCATTAGTTCTATGATTTATACTTAAAAGTCCGTGATTACATTCTAAGAAAGGAATGCAGGCAAAGGGACCCATAACACTTGGAGAAATACGTGTGGCGGGAAATGGTACCATTCTATCAAAAGAAATGTGTCCATGTATAGAATATGAAACAAACTGAAGACGGACGATATTTTTCAAAAGATTTTGTTTCATTGTAGACGAAGCAACTAGTTGTAACTCGGTATTGGGATGGTTTAAAATTATATTAATCCAGTCATTAACTAAAAAGTCAAAGTATTCTTCATACTCCTTATCAGTAGGCTTTATTAGTCGTGAAGAAGGAAGGTCAAGTGTTATGCCACTTTTTTTAAAATTATTATTACCAATCTTTACATAAAAATCCATGTCAGTACTGGAACTCGCTTCGAATTCGTTGATTTCGTATCGATAATAGAGACAATCAAATCCAGAAAGAAGGACCATTACAAAAGCGTGAGATTCATTGCTTTTCGAGCTTGCAGGAGCACGATAAATCCCTACTATTACGATAAATGCTTCATTATCGTCATTCGACACTGTTTTAAAATACCAACCCTCAAAAAAATTTTTTTCGATATCATCACCATGATAGTGTTCCGGATGGTATAGAAGTTTTATGTTTGAATAAATCATTCGATAACTTTCCAATATTGCGATGAAACCTTAAAGGCATAAGTACAGAAGTATGTATTTCTATAAACTTTGCGTCTGGATGTTACACGAACAATTTTAGCTATTTTGAATTACATTTTTCTAAATTTGATCGTGTAACTTCTTACCGTAACTTTGTTACGTAGGATAACAAAAAAAGTTACGCCAAACTAAACATGCTGCAGCCTAGATGATTGGCATTTGGTGCCACGAGAATAGAAGTTTGAAATCTTTGTTCAAATGAATGATCATTAGAATACGTACTACACTCTCATCTGTCACAACAATATTAAAAAGGTAACGAAATTTTATTAATTTATTTATATAACTAAATTCTACAATTAAAATATGTTATATGTTTAACTATATATCTAATATAAAACCTTGGCACCTAACACGATTTCTCATAGTGTAACCATTATTCTATTAGGAGAGGTTTTTATGAACGTGCAGTGCTGGAAAAAAGGTATTCGTTGGTTTCTGATTATAGTGCTTAATACTTTATTATGAAATCTTTATTATAAAGCGTTCATATTTTGCGTACGTACAAGATTTATAATATGGGTAACGGATTAAATATAGTATAGGTGACATCTTAATAAATAATTAATTTAAAGTAGGTATCACCTATACTATATTTTATCAATCGTCTCTAGCTTGAAATTATACATTTGTATGCATTAAGAGCAGTCAAAGTTATTCAAAGGAGAAATATCTTCAAAAGAATTTATATTGCATACAGGCGGGCCTTCAATATGAATTCTAATGAAGATATGAAGGATATTCAAGAAAAAAAGTATATACTCATGACCTTAAAAGAAGAATGGGAAAAGACAGAAAAAAATTTAGCAGCGCGGAAGAGTTTAACAATAGCACACCTTGTGGTATCATTAATCACAATACTTACTGGAATATTCTTATATGTGATTGCGAAACGTAGAGATGCCGATAAACTTTTAAACATTATTACGTCGAGCATCACAGCCACTGGTGGAATCCTAGCTCTCGTAAAGATTATTGGAGAATATGCTATGTCAAATAAGGAAAACATCAAGACATTGATTCAAGCTACTAGAACTGCTAACAGTGGAGATGTATTTATACCCATGTTGATATCTATATCTGATAATCATTTGCAACAAATAAAAACTGAAGAACATAATTTATATCTACGGTTTTTAGAACGTATTAATAAACTAATCGAACGTGAAAGAAATGTTGGCATATTGTTCGCTATCTTAGCGTCTTGTTACGTCATCATTTTAGCGACCATCTCTATTTTAATCAGCATCGGCTATATTGAGCGTACTAATACAGATACCAATCGATATTTGCCTTTAAGTATCATTTTTATTGGAACGGTATGGCTTATCAATATAGGATTGTCTAGTTGCGAACCTTCTGTCGAGTATGCATGCAATATTCATTGGGGAATCGCCGATCCGGATGATTCGAATAATTTGGATAACTGCAATGTTAATCACTCTAACGTCAACGTTAAGGGAATCTGCTGGAGAATTTGTTTAGCAATACTTTTTATACCTATGATATTGCTCATTGGACCTCTGTCAAATTATTATTTTTTAATGAAAAGGATGTATTTAGTTGATTGGTCAATGAAAATTGATGAAGTGAGTTTCTATGGAGATAAAGATAAAAGGGAAGAATATAGATTTAAGTTCGTAGACCATATTAATAGTTTTACGTACTTCTCGAAAGTGTTTTTAAGGCAAAAAGGTGATCGTAAATTCAAAATAGAATCCATTGAATTAACTCAAGATCAAAAAACTGGACTTAGACGTCTTATGTGTGGATTAGAACTAGACATTAAAAGAGTAGATACTATTAATTTAAACTGCAAAACTACATGAATGTATAATTATTTAAAACAAAGTAATGCTAACTCCCACATCATTGATAGAATTTTACGGTTAAATTTAAAAGGTTAGAGAAGAGTTTTTAGGTGCAGAGCATTTTTAAACATCATTTAATACATTATAAATTGTAAAATAGCATTGATTTTATTTATTCTATATTTGTGCCCATATACATTCTTTAAGCACGAGTTATATCATCTCTTTAAGTTGCAGATCTCTTATAAGCAAGTGCTTTACATCATATTTTAAGTGTAATGTCTCTCTAAATACATCTATTTATTGCAGGGGTCTTATGTAACAACTCGTGCTTTTTTCACTCATTTACAGCACGTGTTTAAAAAAATAACTAAATCGGAACACTTTCATATTTTATCAAATATGAAAGTGTTCCAATTTAGTTATTTTATTTTTATTAAATTGATTTGTCTTCATATTTTTAAAATTGTCGATAGAGCATTAGGTCTTTACTTTTTTAAATAGTCATTGGACGGTGTTAGCATTAATTTGTTTTCATTTTCTTTAAAAAAAAATTTTTTTGAAATGATCATTATATAATTAGTCTTTCTTTAAAGTCTTATTGAAGTTAGGCGTTATTATATCTTCGTTTCTAACTTCGTTTCTCTAAATTCATATTAAATAGAATCGCACATTTTTAAATTTTGCATTTTTTTAAAATTCCTATTACTTTCTTTAAAATTCTTACTAGACAGAATCTCGTTTTTAGCGTTTACTTTAAAGTTCTTGTTGGACGAAGTTGCATGTTATTAATTTGTACTTTCTTTAAATTCTTGTTAGATTAGTTATATATTATTAAATTTTTTTCTTTTATAATTCTTAGTATACTGAATTACTCATTATTAAACTTCTGTTTTTAAAATTATCATTAGGCAGATTATTTATTTTTAAGTCTTCGCTTTCTATATTACACTAAACGGAATCATGTTATTTTATTTTCATTTTTCATTGAACAGGATTCTTTACATGATTAAAGTTTAAATTTTTGGATAAGATTATTAAAAAAATTCTTATTGGACAGAGCCTTCATAACAAGAACTTTAAAGTAAACGCTAAAAACGAGATTCTGTCTAGTAAGAATTTTAAAGAAAGTAATAGGAATTTTAAAAAAATGCAAAATTTAAAAATGTGCGATTCTATTTAATATGAATTTAGAGAAACGAAGTTAGAAACGAAGATATAATAACGCCTAACTTCAATAAGACTTTAAAGAAAGACTAATTATATAATGATCATTTCAAAAAAATTTTTTTTTAAAGAAAATGAAAACAAATTAATGCTAACACCGTCCAATGACTATTTAAAAAAGTAAAGACCTAATGCTCTATCGACAATTTTAAAAATATGAAGACAAATCAATTTAATAAAAATAAAATAACTAAATTGGAACACTTTCATATTTGATAAAATATGAAAGTGTTCCGATTTAGTTATTTTTTTAAACACGTGCTGTAAATGAGTGAAAAAAGCACGAGTTGTTACATAAGACCCCTGCAATAAATAGATGTATTTAGAGAGACATTACACTTAAAATATGATGTAAAGCACTTGCTTATAAGAGATCTGCAACTTAAAGAGATGATATAACTCGTGCTTAAAGAATGTATATGGGCACAAATATAGAATAAATAAAATCAATGCTATTTTACAATTTATAATGTATTAAATGATGTTTAAAAATGCTCTGCACCTAAAAACTCTTCTCTAACCTTTTAAATTTAACCGTAAAATTCTATCAATGATGTGGGAGTTAGCATTACTTTGTTTTAAATAATTATACATTCATGTAGTTTTGCAGTTTAAATTAATAGTATCTACTCTTTTAATGTCTAGTTCTAATCCACACATAAGACGTCTAAGTCCAGTTTTTTGATCTTGAGTTAATTCAATGGATTCTATTTTGAATTTACGATCACCTTTTTGCCTTAAAAACACTTTCGAGAAGTACGTAAAACTATTAATATGGTCTACGAACTTAAATCTATATTCTTCCCTTTTATCTTTATCTCCATAGAAACTCACTTCATCAATTTTCATTGACCAATCAACTAAATACATCCTTTTCATTAAAAAATAATAATTTGACAGAGGTCCAATGAGCAATATCATAGGTATAAAAAGTATTGCTAAACAAATTCTCCAGCAGATTCCCTTAACGTTGACGTTAGAGTGATTAACATTGCAGTTATCCAAATTATTCGAATCATCCGGATCGGCGATTCCCCAATGAATATTGCATGCATACTCGACAGAAGGTTCGCAACTAGACAATCCTATATTGATAAGCCATACCGTTCCAATAAAAATGATACTTAAAGGCAAATATCGATTGGTATCTGTATTAGTACGCTCAATATAGCCGATGCTGATTAAAATAGAGATGGTCGCTAAAATGATGACGTAACAAGACGCTAAGATAGCGAACAATATGCCAACATTTCTTTCACGTTCGATTAGTTTATTAATACGTTCTAAAAACCGTAGATATAAATTATGTTCTTCAGTTTTTATTTGTTGCAAATGATTATCAGATATAGATATCAACATGGGTATAAATACATCTCCACTGTTAGCAGTTCTAGTAGCTTGAATCAATGTCTTGATGTTTTCCTTATTTGACATAGCATATTCTCCAATAATCTTTACGAGAGCTAGGATTCCACCAGTGGCTGTGATGCTCGACGTAATAATGTTTAAAAGTTTATCGGCATCTCTACGTTTCGCAATCACATATAAGAATATTCCAGTAAGTATTGTGATTAATGATACCACAAGGTGTGCTATTGTTAAACTCTTCCGCGCTGCTAAATTTTTTTCTGTCTTTTCCCATTCTTCTTTTAAGGTCATGAGTATATACTTTTTTTCTTGAATATCCTTCATATCTTCATTAGAATTCATATTGAAGGCCCGCCTGTATGCAATATAAATTCTTTTGAAGATATTTCTCCTTTGAATAACTTTGACTGCTCTTAATGCATACAAATGTATAATTTCAAGCTAGAGACGATTGATAAAATATAGTATAGGTGATACCTACTTTAAATTAATTATTTATTAAGATGTCACCTATACTATATTTAATCCGTTACCCATATTATAAATCTTGTACGTACGCAAAATATGAACGCTTTATAATAAAGATTTCATAATAAAGTATTAAGCACTATAATCAGAAACCAACGAATACCTTTTTTCCAGCACTGCACGTTCATAAAAACCTCTCCTAATAGAATAATGGTTACACTATGAGAAATCGTGTTAGGTGCCAAGGTTTTATATTAGATATATAGTTAAACATATAACATATTTTAATTGTAGAATTTAGTTATATAAATAAATTAATAAAATTTCGTTACCTTTTTAATATTGTTGTGACAGATGAGAGTGTAGTACGTATTCTAATGATCATTCATTTGAACAAAGATTTCAAACTTCTATTCTCGTGGCACCAAATGCCAATCATCTAGGCTGCAGCATGTTTAGTTTGGCGTAACTTTTTTTGTTATCCTACGTAACAAAGTTACGGTAAGAAGTTACACGATCAAATTTAGAAAAATGTAATTCAAAATAGCTAAAATTGTTCGTGTAACATCCAGACGCAAAGTTTATAGAAATACATACTTCTGTACTTATGCCTTTAAGGTTTCATCGCAATATTGGAAAGTTATCGAATGATTTATTCAAACATAAAACTTCTATACCATCCGGAACACTATCATGGTGATGATATCGAAAAAAATTTTTTTGAGGGTTGGTATTTTAAAACAGTGTCGAATGACGATAATGAAGCATTTATCGTAATAGTAGGGATTTATCGTGCTCCTGCAAGCTCGAAAAGCAATGAATCTCACGCTTTTGTAATGGTCCTTCTTTCTGGATTTGATTGTCTCTATTATCGATACGAAATCAACGAATTCGAAGCGAGTTCCAGTACTGACATGGATTTTTATGTAAAGATTGGTAATAATAATTTTAAAAAAAGTGGCATAACACTTGACCTTCCTTCTTCACGACTAATAAAGCCTACTGATAAGGAGTATGAAGAATACTTTGACTTTTTAGTTAATGACTGGATTAATATAATTTTAAACCATCCCAATACCGAGTTACAACTAGTTGCTTCGTCTACAATGAAACAAAATCTTTTGAAAAATATCGTCCGTCTTCAGTTTGTTTCATATTCTATACATGGACACATTTCTTTTGATAGAATGGTACCATTTCCCGCCACACGTATTTCTCCAAGTGTTATGGGTCCCTTTGCCTGCATTCCTTTCTTAGAATGTAATCACGGACTTTTAAGTATAAATCATAGAACTAATGGTAATATAGAGTTTACTAATGAAGATAATAAAGATAATTCCAAAAAAATTGGTTTTGAGAACGGATATGGGTATATAGAAAAAGATTGGGGTACTAATTTTCCTCAGTCTTATATTTGGGCACAGACCAATAATTTCATAAATGATAAAGGGTCTTCATTATTAGTAAGTATTACTTTTTACTTTTTTAATAATATTAATTAATTTTATTACTATGTTTTAATTGTTTAATTATATGGAATTTAAAAGTTTTCCATAGCAGACGTACCGTTTATGTCATCAGATAGCCTACTCAATAAGGTTCCTTTTCTTAAAAAGTCGTTACGTCATCCTGGACGAATAATAGTTTTTTACCATGGGAGCACGAATAGTACATATAATTTTAGTACTTATACATTATCTTTTGTTCGCGAGTTCAATATAGAAATGGATAATTCTGCCATGCAACATATAAATCTCCACATTTCAAACATACAAGGATTTCATCTTAAAATCAATATAAAACGCAGGGCCGGTAGAGGAATTCCCTTGCGTGCTCCCGTGAAACAATCCGGAAAAATGACTTTAAGAGTTGAGGAAAGTTTGGATGCTGAAATGTCTGTAAAATTATGGCATAAGCGACGAAGCCATAATGAGATTGAAAATGTTATTTTTCAT